TGAGGACGCAGCGAGAAGGCTGCCTGGGCGGCTCTAGCAAACTAACACAGGAAGGAAGTGCTGGAGGTTTGAGTAGAAGAGAAAAAAGTATTAAATGATCATGTGGAGAAATGAGAGAATAAAAAAGACTAGGGAACTATCAACTCAAAGATGCCATTGGTTGTAAAACACACTATTATTTAGGTAACACTGAAAAAAAGGAAACCCCTGCCAGTTCCAGTATGACATGGCACAGTGGCATACGTGACACACATCCTCATTTCAGAGACACTAAGTGTGAAGACGTGTGTGTGTGTTAAAACTGATGGAATATGGCCGTGTCAGTGTTGGGTAGCCTGAAGGGCCCACATGAGATGAGTGATGACAAACTAAAGTGAAACTGGTGGGCGTGGTTGAGCGGTTTTCTCCAGCAATGTTCAGCTGCATGGATGCAGACAGAGACTGGATTTCAACATTGGTTTGGGGAGTCTGGATCTGAACAGAGTTTTGGCTTTTTTTCAAATAGGTGCAGGAAAGCAAGAGGGTGACAAGCTAGTTGAAGATGTGTGTAAGAGAATGAGGGAGTGCTTTGAATGAGAAAGGTAGTTGGAGTCAGAGGACTAGAGGGAGTGTGGGCTGCAAACCTGGCCGGGAAGTTTCAAAAAGGAGCGTAAGTGGTATGCCTGAATTGGGCTTTGTTGGGGGGATTATGTTACTGGTGCCCATGAAGTCAAGGGTGTAACAAAGGCCTGAGCAGCTGAGCTGAGGTAGGGGGTAAGATCATTGGAGAAGTGGTCCAGAAACAAAGAAGGATCATCCACATGGATGTTGAAATCAAGACAGAAACAGGAGAGTGACAGTGAGCCCGGAAGGAGAATCTTGAAAGAATGGGGCGGCGGGGGCGGGGTATGCCGGGGAGGGGAAGGAGGAAGCGCACTCAGAGGCCAGTAAATGAGTGCAGCAGGGAGGAGTGAGGGGAGCAGGCTGCTGACCGGAGCAGCAAAGCTCTGTGGTCTTAAGGGGGCAACGGGAACCGTCGGAAAGTGAAAGCATGAGATGAAAATTACACTGACGACTTAGTAAATAATGATACCTCTATCTGCATGAGCTCTGTCTGAATAACAAATTCCCAGAAGTCGAACTGCTAGGTCAAAGTGCATTTTCCTGCCTCGGTATTTTTAATTTTTGTCATTCAGACCCATGAAAATGTGTATCTGCAACAGTTACCTCTTCTTGACTCATGTTTTTACTTGGGTATTACCGGTTGTCCCAGGAATCGTAGTATCTGGTACAGTGAGTCCAAATTCTTGTTTTTCAAAATGATCATATTCTTGGCCCTTTGTTCTCTGTATAAATGTTTTTAACAACTTGCCCAAGTCTTGTACTAACGCTAATTTTTCAGTAGATTCTCTTGGGTGTTCGACATTTACTCGTAAGTCTGCCATTTAGAATTTTTTCTTCCTTTCCAAAGCTATTTTTCTCTTCCTCCCTCCCTCCCCACTCTTTCTTAACTGTGTAACAAAGACCTGCTACAAAATGTTGAACACCCTCCAGTAATTAATTATGGGCATCTTTGTGTATTCTTGATTTTAAAATGAATGTGTCTAACATTCTGCCCCAAGCATGTTTGTGGCATTACATTTTGGAAATGATTGTAATACTTACATAACAGAACTAAAACATCCTTGTTTTTTAAATGGGTCTAAAATCATGAACTTTACTGCCAAAAGAGGGAAAGAAGTAGAAGGTTGGAATAAACTGAAAGTGTACAATTTTTATCTTATATAGGAGACATTCTACAGTAACTATTATATTCCTGAAGTTATTCATTCAAGAAATAGGTTTATGTCTTTCAAAAATTAAAGCTGAATAGAAAACAATCTGTATACACTACAAATTAACAGAAGGCCTCAAAATACAAGTTTTTTTAAAAAAAAGAGAAAAAGAACATCAGTTTTAGCAAAAGATTAAAAACAAAGCCAGCAAGATAGCATTAAAAAAAATGGCAAGCAGAATATAAAATAAACTGACAAGAAGATCGATTATGGTAATATTGGAACTAGTGGAATTCAAAATGTTTTAAAAAGTTGAATAAATGGAACAAAGATTAAGTAGTTATGAAGCTGTATGTGCTAAATATAGCACTGAATATATAAAGCAAAAGAATTAGACATTTAAGGAAAAGTATGTAATAGCAGCGTAAGAATTTATTTTACATTTCTCACTCCTTCAGAAATAAGATGTAGAGAATCTTACCAGTTAAGTTGTATTGCAAATGTACCAAATGACATATTCATCCTAAAGAAGTATTTCAAAATTTGTTTGCTTGGTTGGCTAAAAAGAATCCTTAATAAATTCCCAAAAGCAGACTACATACACTGACTATATGTAATAGAAAATGTAAGTTATAAACAAAAAGCTAAACAAAAAACAAAATATACCCAACCACCTGGAAATTTAAACACCACTCTAAATAATCCTTGAGTCAAACAAGCAATCAAATTTGCAGCCACCAAATATTTTGAAAAACACAACATTCTTAACCTATGGGATGTAGCCAAAGAAATAGAGAATGATTTAAATGGTTAAATTAAATTTAACCATTAAATGATTTCTTTCAGAATTGGTAGGAAGAAAACCAAACGGACCAATCATTCAACTCAAACGGTAGGGGGATAAATAAGGGAAGTAGAAGAAAGGAAGCAGAATGCTGAAACAAATGAGAAAATAAATGATAGGTTTTTATTCCTTGGTGGTCAGAGGATAGAGGCAGAATGGGGCAAATCCTAACTAATCAGGAAAAAGAGAAAAGACACACAAAGGATATGTAATAATAGATGATATATTTAACACTGAGACCATTAAGTGCAACTACATGCTAAAAACATTTTAAATATAAGGACGATATGGTGAATTTTCAGGAAAAGGAAAATTACCAAGATTTACTCAAGAAACAGAGCCCTGGACAGATCAAGAACACATGAGGAAATGGAGAAATGGTGAAAGAACTACCTTCAGGAAAAGAGTCACGTGTATCTGGATAAAAATTAACAGCATCAACTTCAATAAACAGATCATTCATTCTCAGGATACATAAACTACTCTAAATCAAATAAAATATAATAGAGTTTTCCAGTTCATTCTGCAACACTATCCGAACCTGCTACTTAAAACTAAATTTACCTCTCATAGAAGTACAAAATCCTAAATACAGGGTTAGTCAACAGAATACAGCAGCATTTTTAATGAATGGCTCAGTGTTAGATTCTACCAGTATAACTGGTGAATATCAACAGGTCAAAGGAGAAAAAGCTTTACGATGAAAAAGCATTTGAAAAAAATTTAACATTGGACCCTAATAAATGGGCTTCATGAATATTCCTCCTAACATAATGTTCTATTTCTAATCTATAGTTTAAATTATACATAAGAGTGAAACACTAACAATTAGATATTTCTAGAACCGGAAAGAATAACCATTATAATATTCAATCACCTGAAAACTATTAGAAATAAAAGTAGTAAGTAATGTGGTCAGTTGTATTTTTTTTTAAATGACAGCTTTCCTAAAAGGAAAAGCCAACATATCAGACCTATAGTAAAGAAAATTTCAGGAATTTTAATGAAGAACATGTAAAAAACAAGCCAAACAAAAACCCTAACTTAAACACTTAATATAAAATCCTACCAGGATACTTGGGGAAAGTGATCAAAGTGATTGTGAAAGTCACACTGAATAGTAGGCAGGAATAGACAAGAGAACTTGGAAAAAGGGACAGTTAAGTTCTGTCCTAGAACAAACACTGTTGTCTGCTGTTGTGCTACACGTTGTTTTAGGAATTGAAAGTACAGTGACTGAAAAGACTACAGTGACAAATGTGTATAATCCAAGTGCCCTTGTAACCAGAAGAGAAAGATCGGGATGGAATATAACCGAGAGCTCCGATACAAACCCAAATGAGACACAGATACTTTAAAAAGGGATAGGATGAACTGTTTAACAGATGCTGTTGCCATCATCAGTACAGCCATTCAGGACAAATATAAAGTTGGGACCTTACCTCACAACATTTAACAAAATAAATTCTAGAATGGTTTAGAATTAATTATAAAAGCAGAAAGCAAGAGAAGTAAAGTTACCTTTATCAGAACACACCACACAGTATTTTTAAGATTATAGTTTAGAAAGGGCTACTTTTTTTATATTAAGCCACAGAGACAAATACCTAATAACTAAACACATAAATAGTTAATAAGTAAGACACCTGGCTAACATGAATAATGAATTTCACTAGTAATCAAAGAAATAGAAATTAAAACGATCATTTTTCACCCGTCAAACTGGCAAAGATCTAATATTTTTTTTTAACATTTTTAAACATCCAACATAGCTTGAAATGAAAAGGGAAACGAAAAGGAAACTAATGGGAATGAAAACCTGCAAACGTTTCCTGAGGGCAATGTGGATACAGCAGAAGTTAAAAAGTACACTCTAGACTAGCAATTCCATGGAAATTATGTATGTTTCTATGTTCATACATGTGTATTGATGTAGATTTTCATCACATCGCTATTTATAACAGAAGTTAGAAATATTTTGTGTCCAGCAATAAGGAATTGTTAGGTTACGGTTCTTTTCTATAAAGGAGTAACTTACAATCACTAAAAAGAGGGTAGAATTTAATTACTTACCTAGAAGGATGTTCACAATATATTATTAAATGAAAAAAAAATCTAATCACAAAGCTATGGGCAATATAATCCCATTGTTTAAAAAATCAGATACGCAACCATAAACACTCATCAAAGGCAAAATATTAATGATGGTTATCTCTGGATGTATTCCTACATTTTTTAATATGTACACACATAAAAAGGAAAAACTAAAGGTCCCGAGTTTAAAGCGTTGTCTATAAAGCATGACATAGCGGGTAACAAGCGGTCATCTTCATCAGATCAGATTATTTCTAAGAGTCTGTTCTGTATATGAGCAAGAAGAAAACAAGGATAAAAATAGCCTGGAATTCTTAGGGCAGTTTATTTACAGACTATCAAATACAGCCTTTTTTTCTTTTGTCAAACAAATGGCTTATATTAAACACATTAGTTAGCAATTACGAGACTCTACTAAAAGTTCTTGCAAAAAAGTACACCTTTACAACAAATTAACTGAAAAAAAATTTAAAGAGTGATTCACTACAGAGCCTCATTTTCAATGTGGCATTTTCAATTGGAAAATTTTTTTAATGGGACATTTGATATGGTGAAAGAAAAAGACACACAAAATGTTAGTCTGTATAATTCAAAGGGCAAGATCTTTTCCAATATATCAAAATTTTGTTTTCCCCATCTTCAGCTGGACCCCTTGATAGCTTTATTTTCTTTTAATAGCTTTTATTTTTAATTAAACTAGAAACAGTTTTATAAATTATCTGGAAAGGCCTTTGGTAAATGACAAGCCATTGCTCCCCTTATAAAACTGCTTGAAATTATAAAATCTTAGAATTCAAATGCAATGTTTGCAGGCCTGCTGATAATGATCTTTCTCCTACAAGTAGAAAGTAAGTTTAAATGAAAAATTCAGTCTTATTATCTAATTGTTGGCTAAATAACTATTGTCTTAAAATTGAAAATGAGGAACCTCCTTAAAGACTATCCATAGTTTCTAATTTTTTCTAAAATTTTATTTTCCTATTTTTTCCTGAAGCCTTTTTAAAATTGACTTTTTAAAGCCATCTGTGTTACACTAGTTGTTCTGTATTCTAAATTTAATTATTTTATTTTACTATAACACTGGTAAAAATTTTAACAGTAAACATTCTCATTAAAAAGTATTTACTATAGAATTGATATGGCTTAGAAGAACAACACTGGTAATCCATCTAAAGCTCATTTTTCCTAGCTGTGAAGTTTAGAGACGGACCAGATGATTTTAGGTTATTGGGACATCCTGCTCACTTTTGAAATGTCAAAATCAGTCCAGGGAATCAGTAGATCTTTATTCAAATTTCATACTTCAGCTTTACTTTAAAAAATAAAAAGCCCTAGCGTGAAAAATCACCTGAAGTTGGATTAAGCTCATAGGAAATACAGCAAAACTTTAACTCAGAAGTACCAGTAAAATTAGTCTGGAAGCATTTAAAACCCATTTGCCTTCCCTTTTTCTCAAGAATCTTGCTATTTCCTACAAATTGGCCTGCTGCACACTGGCCAGATTCAACTTAAAATTTTATTCTCATCATTGGGTTTCCAGTTCTACTTCTTTCAACTTTCTCTATTTCAAATTTGACTTTAAAATTTTACAAAGACACATTTTCATGTCTTACATTCACAGAAGTGTAATTTAAATACAGCTGAAGAGTAGCAACTACTACTAGCTTCTCCACTTTTTAAATCTTCTTGCGCACCGTCAGCCTACCAGAAGCACGATTTAGTGCCTTCGTGTTGGTTGATGTATCCCAGGTGCTAGCCCCTGGCACGTGGCAGGCACTGAATATTTCTAACTGACAGAGTGAAGATCTGCATCACAGCTAAAGCATTACCTTACTTTCACATTCACAAACTATTGTAATCAATAAACCCTTCAAGTTTTAAAAGACTCTTTTAAAACTTCATGGGTGACTGCAACTCTCCAACAAACAATGGACTGAAGACTAGAGGAGCATACTGAGTTACATGCAGAAAAACCTGCTGTGTCAGAAAGTACAAAAGGGAATTTCACGTGGGAGAGAATATTTTATTATTTTGGTAGGCCAGTCTTTTCTATTTTCATCTTCTCACTTGTAATCTGACTTACCTGTTTCTTCCCCAAAAACTTAAGTAGTATCTTCTGTTCCTTAAATTTCACTCAAGAATATTCAGTGCCTACTGCAGTTCTTGTAACATACAGAATTAGTGCTATCCTAACCCTGCTCTTTTTATTAACCCAAATTTACTTAAGTATTAAATGAATGGTATGGAAGGATGCATTAAGATTTTTACTACCACATTTCATCGATTTTAAGAAACATTCTTTCATATAATAACATCTCTGAATTTGGAAAGATCAATTACAACTGATGCATCTTAGCATCGTGTTGTGGTTTAACTGTGGCAACATTTTTCCTAACTAGTGTACAAAATACTGCTACATCTCACAATCAGTGCTGTCTTAGGGTAATAATATTAACATCTGTAGTTTAAATTATCAATTTCAAGCAACAATTTCCTTGTCCTCCCAGCCACTCTTCCAACATAAATATATAACTGAAATGTTAGGAAAAACTATCCAAACACAGTTCAATTTTATATAAAATATTTAATTTTTAAAACACAGGCTATTCATGTCACATAAATATCTTCAATTTTAGGTTAGCTGCTATGGTCAGCAGAATTATCAAGTGTGACTATTACGAATAATAACTTAGATACTGTCACTTATAGGAAAGTCTAAAGCTCTAGGACTCACCATATTAAAATTTCAGATACTGGAATACTGTAGCTATTTTGCTAAATTTCAAAATATTTTTTCACTTCCTGCAATGTAGTTTATTGTAAGTTGTTAGTACTCAATATTCAAATAAAAGCAAAATAATTTTTTCTTCCATTCATTTCTTTTTCCCAAATAACAAAAAAAATTCCATCAAAAGATAAAATGGTCAACTGACATCAACTCATTTTATAGCAGTAAAATGTAAATTATTTACTTTAAAATATTCTTACTGTCACCAAACTACAATGCTTCCCATATACTGTTATGAAATGAAGGTTCACAAGTCAGAGGGCACAGGGTTAAAAGACTGACTTTAGAACTGGAGAAACTTCCATTCGGTAACAGTTGTTCCAATTTAAGGTTCCAATCAAATAATAAGTTACCAGGAGAACAGTTAAAACAAGATGGTTAATTGGCACAACTCTCATTTCCAGAGTCTATTTTGCCTTTTAGTGCTAATGGAAACACTGGTTATTTACCTTTGGTTCCTTTCTAGAATTATTATAAGTGTATGTGTGTTTGAGTGTGCACAGAACGTTAGTTAGACTTGACGTAACTACAGTTTAAATAGGGTTAGTCCATCAATCTTTGTTGCTTTTAATAGAAAACAAAAGTTAAAATCAACTAAAACAAATTTACCCTAGGTCTCGCAGAAGTCATAATCAATCTCACAGAAAAAGAGAGGAGGGAACGTAAGAGGTTTTCTTGCGCTACTTTTTCTTTTTGCTTCAATAAATTCAATCCAGGCAATGTTTCTAGTTAACAAAGTGAACAGAGTTAACTTTGTCTTAAGATGGTAACTGCATTAACTTAAAAAATGGTGTTTGCCACCCCTCCCCCCATGAACTTTAAGGGAACTATGCAAATTCAGTTATGAAGCTTTGCTTCTAGGCTCCTGCCCTCCAATTACCCATGGCAAAAGGAAACGGGGACATATGGCAGCCTGAAAGAAGACGGTACCCTGAAGTTCTCACCTAGCTGCTGCTTTCAATCATTTAAGTGACAAAGCTTTTTAGAACTTCTCGCAAGTAACCAAAGGTGCTGACTGCAGTTGCACTCCCTTTCTCTGCTCTCACGCTCCTATCAAGAGAAGGTGGCAGTGGAAGGTGACACAGCTCAAAGAAAGGAGAAGAGGGTGACAGACGGGGGGATGGATCTAACAGGAACTGAGCTGAACAGGCAGCCCCTCAACACTTGAGAGCGCCCTGCGCCTCCTCACTACAATGTACTGATTCCCTTTAGAGATAAATGGGTGTAAAGGTTAACTACTTCTTCAGACCTTAAGCTTACCTGTTAAGGCACTTACTTACCCTCCCCACCCCACCCATATTTTTCATATAAAACCCACTATTTCGTTTGAATGCATTTTGCTAGGCTATGATAATCTGCAAAAAAAAAAACCCAAAAATAACGTTGACCATCTTTTTTTTTTATAAAACTGCTGCATCAAGAGAAAGGTTGTGTTTTATTTTCTGAAATGAGCACAAAGTACACCTTTCACAATAACACTGAAAGCAGGTGCAAAGACTGACAGTGACCTTTGACTAAAGGTAGCTTTGTAAAAAGAAAAATACCAAATAAATCAGTGCCCTTTCTGATTGTTGTAAAACTGGGGCGGGGGTGGGTGGGGGGGTCAGTTGTTTGTTACATAAAAGTTGGTCCAAACTTACAAAAAAAGCACAAATGTGCATAGTTCAGAAGATCTGCAAGAGGGCCATAAAAGACCTTTATGTCCCTAAGATTAGCATCCACTTAAAACTGCAAGAATACAAAATAAAATTGTTAACTAGAATTTGTGAAGATGTACAATCAATAGATCTAGTTTGTAGAACAGCATGAATTTAAGCAAAGGTTTTTTTGTCTTTTTTTTTAAACTATTGTATGCAAGACCCTTTTCCACATAAAAATAAAGCTGTTGTTGAATTAATATTATTCAAGTCTCTTGGATTGCTGCCTTAAACTGCAGCTAGAAAAGTCTTTCCAGATAAAAATGATGTGCCTGAGGAAAAACAGATACTCAGTATGGTAACCCTCTGCCTCGCCCTCTGCCAGCTGATGTGCTAATGTGTCCCCTGTATCCTTGTGAATATCCAGGTCCCTGGGCAGGAGAAGTCCAGGTCTGTCCATGCATGAGGCCAGGGCCGCCCGGGGTTTCCTGTAAGTTACCACCATAGTTATAGTTGTGTATCTTTGCTGGCAAAGGATGAGTACTCTCTGGCCCTGTGGAAGGGTCACTGCTGTTTGCCAGGACTGCGATGGGGCCATGGCTATATTCAAATCTATGGTCCTTGTCTCCACTGAACAACATGGGACCAGCATTGAGGTAAATGTCTCCATATCCAGCTACCGAACTGGGAAATGACTCGGAAAAGGCAGAAGGCTGAGGTGGACCACCAGAATGAGATGAAGGAGTACTGTAGTTATCCAAAGGCTGGATGTCTGAGTTCGCAATGAAGCTGCGTCGTTCCAACGGTGGAGCGGAGCCGCCCCCGAGACCGTCACTGCTAACGTACGGAGCAGAAGAGAAAGAAGAGGATCCAAAATTGTCCTTGTAGTCTGAAGTGGGTACGTAAGTGTCTCCTGCTTGGTAATCAACACCACCTTCTCTTTTGGGGTCGTCCTGCGGCTGATGCTGGGCAAGTAGCTGTAACAGGGCTGCTTTCACCCCGGCATGAGGGTCAGTTAATGAAGAACCAGTGGTGGGTCCGTGCTGGTTTTCTGTCCGATAATCCAGATCCTCTTCCGTGACCGGTGGGGGTTCGGGGGGTTCAGGAGGCCGCTGATCAGGAGGCAGAATGCGAGGCCGGTCTGGCTCTGGCGTGAGCTCCAGTCTCCTCATATCCTGGTGCTGAATGAGGTCATCTTGCCCTGAGTGAAACAAAACAAGAGAAGAGAATTAAAAGTTACCATGGGAAACTAAGTGTTCAAAGTAGTCAACGTTTCCTAAAGAACATTAGAAGTTCCAACTCTGGCAAGAAAAAAAAGTTAAATGAAAAGGAAAAAGGAATATACAATCCTAATATTGCCTGCTCCCATTTAAGCCTATGGTGATGGTGACTGAGCAGTTTTACTGTATTTGACTTTTCAAAGCTATCTCACATGTATCTATTTACTGCTTGAAGAGCGAAAGCTTCTGCATACTTAAATTTTCTGCTCTGGCAGTCCTCTTGTAGCTGGAGTAAAAGACGATTTCTTCACCACAGGCTTACGTGAGAAACACCTACAGCATTCGTAACGAGTTCCTCGCACACAGATAATTCATTAAAGACTCAAATCCTAGGAGCACACAGACTATGAAACCAACCTCTAACCAGTGACCTACGAATTTTCAGGACACCTCCTAGCAAACCTGCTAAGTAACACGCATTACAGACGACCATAGACAGCAAGAAAGCGGTGTGAGCGCGGCCGTGCTGGGGCCTGCTGTCCGCGCACTCACCCGCTCCCGGAGTGCCCGGTTCCGGGGGTGGCCTGAGCTGCAGTGACACTTCATGTCCCGATCCGTTCTCCCTCTCTTCGAGCAGCATGTCCTTCTGCTTTGAGTGCTGGGCCTTTATTAACTGAGTCAACAGAACCGCAAACGCGCTCTGCACAGCTGCCTGGGTGGCGTCCGTCTCCACTTTCGGCGGGACGTTCTGAGAAGAGGGCTGAATTCCTCCCAGCGGTTTCGAAGACTCCTGCTGTGGTGTTGATGGATCTGTCTGTTTTTCACCTGTTGCCAAAATTCCAGCAGGAAGGTTTATTTTATTTAGCTGCTGTTGAGTCTCAGAGTTTACCTTAATGTTCAACACTTGGACAAAATCGGCCATATTAACACTTGTTTTAGATTGTAGTAGGTTTAGTAGAATTGCCAATTCACTGTGGCTTAACTGCTGTCCAGGGCCTGTTTTTACTAAAGACAAAATTTATGTTAATTAGAATTGCCATAATTCACAGCTCCCCCGCCCCCAAAATAGCTCTGCACTACCATATTAAAATGTGCATTTGTGGGGCGGTGTTTAAGAAATACCTTGAAAAGGGAATAATCTCATTTTAGTTCAATTTTGTGTACTTTTAAGATGTAACTGCACATAGAACAAACAAGAAAACTGCAGTCCATTTTGAATAAATGATCTTTAAGGGTAAATACTTCAGAGGGAAAATTAAGACTACTACTAGAGCCCCGTGAGACAGACGCGAGCAGGAAACAGCAGCTGTGAGTGGGACTGAATGATGATGATGGTGACAACTACAATTTCAGGGACTTTCTAAGCATTTGGTATCTTTTATTCCTCACAACAACCTTACAAAGCATGCTGTATTGTTGGCCCCATTTTTTTTTTAACTGAAGAAGAAACTGACATTCAGAAAGACTAAATAACTTGCCCAAGTTGAGATCTGAACCCAGGTATTCTGATTCCAGAGTCTGAACTCTTACCACTCACTGCACTGCTTGTCTAAAATAATGCCTATTTTCTAAGAGCCTAACCTTATCTTTGCAGACAATTCAACCAGGATGTTGCAGACTGTCTGATAAAATATTTTTATTCAAATTACTTTTTTAAGTTAAGCCTTATGGGTAAGTTAGGAACTCCTACAGAAGCATGTTCATCATGTGCATATAAGGTGGTATTAATTCATCACCAGTAAAACAGGTGAAGTTGTTTTTCTTTTTCCAGTTTTCAGTTTAGACTGGTAACGGTTTACAAAGGCTCTCGTGCAAGTTTATCTGAGTCATATATAACAAGGCTCAAATGCATACAATACTATTGTGTGAGTTCAGTAATCGCACACTGACAAGCAAGTTCCACAACCACAGATGACAGACTAATAGAAAAGAACTCCAAGAAGATGAAAACCTGATGATTAATGTTATCATTTTCTATGTTCTCTCTTATATATAAAGAGAGGTACTTTGAGGTACTTATTATACTTCTTAATATTATTTTTAGATTAATTCAGAACAAACTCTTGCAAGTTCTCCCCGTGACCCGCAGGGATGAATAAGGCACCAAGCTTGTCAGCTGCACCCAGGAGCCAGCCTTGCTCATCTCCCCTTTCACTTGTCTATCAGCAGAGGTGAGCTCCCCATGAGCTCAATGCAGCACTCTTTACTATGGTGTCTAACCTCCAGAAGCGGCATTTTTATTTCAGGACACTTACTGAGGATGAAGAAAATGGAGCACAGAGGATTCATTTTTATTTAAAAAAAAAAAAAACCTAGAATTCTCACTTCTTAATAGTGATAGTTTGGAAAAAAATGCAAAAAGAAAAAGAAAAAAAGAAACTCTTCACTATTAATGAGCTGTTAAATATGTAGAGCTAGGAAACAGTAACAAAATGACCCCAGAATTCATGTTTTATCCGCAAAAACAGAGTAAAGTAACTACCCTCTGTTTCACTAGGTTTGCTAGTGGAATACGGACGTCGGTCCCATGAAGAGCAGAGATAAGCCCTGGTGGTCTTGTTAAGGAACATGACAACCGTTGCCCAGGACACCCCAACCCTCCTGTTACTGCCATCTCAAATCCTTTTTCAGAAGTAGATGGTACATAAAACAGGGAACATAAACACAAATTAAGAAAACTTGTTGCTTCTTTTGCCTTTCTCTAAATTTTACGTATTTTTAACATGAGAAATAATATTGAACTTGATATAGATACAGTGTACAAGAGGTGTGTTTTCTCCAAAGCTGCATATAGCAAATATTTTCACATATAAGGGGAATCCACTATTTCAAGAAACTCTGAAAAATACTTTTCAGCAACAAGTAACAATTTATTTTGGTTTTTAAAGTAACAAGTATCAGCACTTTAATGTAGTCCAGCCAAGGTCAAGTATAAGCTTGCAGATTACATGGGAAAGCATTAATGGTAATCTTTCTCAAGCTTTCTCAGCTAATCTACTCTATATTTATACTCAACACCAAAAGTTCAATCTGATCCAAAGATCTGTTTCAATCAACTAACTGATCAGTCAATATGTACTCATCTCTTACTAAGTGCTGGGCTACTTCTTCATGTTTAATAAATCACCACCTCCACATACATATATTTATTCCCTATCAGTCTCTGTCTTCACTTAAAAAAATTAAAGCTGAATGCTTTCTAGATCTTTGAGGCAAAATGAGGGAGTAAATTCTATTTTTTTTAAAAGTTGCTAACTAAATGAGAGAATGAATTTAACAACCTTCTGACAACACTGAAGAGGTTAGTTTCTCATGAAGAAGCTTAACTCTTACAACAGATTGAGTCAGAGGAAGAAATTTAAGTTTCCCCAAAATATCCTTCTTTTCCATACTTCAAGCCATTCTTGGTGCAGTATCAGATTCCAGTCTTTGAGATTTTGTAATACAATGAGAAATACATTAAAAGTGACCTAAGGACACTATAAACAGCATGAAAGAGCTTCTGTTATGACTTCCAGCTGTTTTCCTTATCTTTCTTCTCACTCCTTAAGCATCCACAGACACGGAATGCTGAGCCTCACTGGGAACAGCACTAGTAAAAGACCTACCGACTCCTGCAATGGGGAAAAGAAGAAAATGGAGAGATGTGACCAATCACTGATCATATGTTACCTGATGCTCCCTTTACAAATTCATCTTACCTTGGGAGTGCTTAATATTGTGGTGCCAGTAGCTGTTTAACATCTGTACCGGCACAAGCAAATAACAAGGAAATGTCAAGCTCAGTGAATAAACCTTAATACGTTCAACTTTCAGCCAGAAGTGCCTTAACACTAGAGCAATATAATTAACACCAGCCACAAAACACAGCGAAGAAAACCAAGCCGTGGAAGAACTACTGACCAGGTGCTACATTCGAGTTGCCCTGAGATTTCAGCTGTGCAGACGGCAGCACGCCCTGAGGTGTGCTGGTTCTGCTGTCGTCCATGCCCAGAGACAGGTCCTTTCTGGGGGCTTTGACTGTGGAAACATCATCAGTCATGCCCATCTGCTTCTGTCTTCTTCGCTTTTTACTCCATAACTCATGACAATCTTGCCATAAAGGAAGGCTGGAAAAAAATAATATTAAGCTGTTTGTCAATCATGTTTCTTAACAACAACAAAATGCTAATATTTACTAAACAGCAATAAAGCCGCCACCCCTAACCGCCCGCAAGTTGTTTTTAAAGGTTTCACACACAGGCTTTGTAAATTCCCCCAATAAAAATCATCCTTGATGCCCCACATCTCCTTCACGAGTTCACCTATACAGATGAATTATTTTTGTGGTTTCTGAATAATCAATAAATAGTAACTTATAAAAACTATGAATGAAGAATATATGTTCATAAAAGTAGGTCACTATTACCTTCAGTGCAATCTTTTAAAGACAATTCTTATCATAATATGTCATACATTGAATAGGATATGGGAAAAAAAAAGGTGAAAAATATATGCCACTTACAGAAACTAGACATAGGATAAAAAGTAGTGAAGCCTAGGAGATAACATTTGTGAGAAACTTTCTAGCACAAGCTTTTTACTTTTTAAATACCCTCTCATTTGCTTCTAAAATCAAATGCTTTAGAATTAAAACTGATGCTATGGAGGAGTTTCAAAAATAGGTAATCCAGGCTCATCACCCATCACTGAGAGTTCTGAATAACTAGCAACTATAAAAAGTATTCACAATTCTGAAACAATTCTACCCCGTGTAATTCCACAAAACTGACAACACTGCAGAATAACTTTTGTTTAAAGAAAGATCTGAATAAGTATTTTCTTCTTACCCTAATAAAAAAAATCCAATGGGAAGTTACTATGATATCTATTTTAAAAATAAGAAAATTGAGGCTTGGAAAGGTTAATAAACTTGCCCAGAATATCTACAAATTCCCTTAAGCAGCCCCAGCCTGGTCTTCAACCTGGATATGCTGACCTCTAGGGAGACTTTCTGAGGGAGTATACTCTGGAATTGTTGTAAAAGAAGTTCCATATCCATATGTCTTCCTTCCTAAAACTCATCTTTGAGAAGGGCCTGCACATTCAGAAAGTTCTTTCACACCTCCTCTTTCACAATTACTCTTATTTCGTGTTATAAAATAAAGGCATATGCGACAATATGGTCAAACTTTAGCAATATTAATATTAAGTAAAAAAAAAAGTCATTCCCAAAAGATTACAAACAGCATGACACTCTTTTATAAAACTAAAAGCAACCAAAATTGTAAAATGTAACTTTTTATGAGTACATACAGATGGCAACAAAAAATATATACAAAAGAAAACAGGCATGATGGTTACCTCAGGTGGAGGAAGGCAAGGGGGACAGGTCATGGGGGAGAGGCTGTGATATGATTAAAGTAGGTTATTGTCAAGGTTCTAGCTTTTATTTGGTAGGTTCATGGCTGCTTATTAACATCATCTAAAATAACTAATTAAATTAAGTAACTAAAAGAAAAAAAGAGAGCCATGCATGGACCAATGATGAGTGACACAAGGATTATGATTAAACCAAGTCTATGCACCTGAGGTCCAAAAACAAAACAAAGGCATACCTCTCAGCCATCTTACTATGGTGCATTGCCTCAGCGTGTAAAAACCTCCTGGAGTAACAAACAAAGGGACAATTTGAAATATTGATATTGGGAAGCTTTAAGGCATCATAAACCCTCCAAAGACTTTCCTTTCTGCGTGTGTGTGTGTGTGTTATAAGATGTGTGGCCTTAGCTTCTCTTGGGTTCATTATGAATCCAAACACACTGTGGCACTGCAGAGTGGGGCAACTGGAGTGATTTCATTTCTTCCATCCTGATGTTCAGGGAATGCACTGCTCTTGTGGGAAAATTCCATGAGAGTAAAGCAAAGAAATCCACTAAAAAGGGGCTTTTGTTCCCTCCCACAATTTAAAGGTAAGAGGCTTTATGGATGGTCTCAATCATCAATTCAAGGAAAGAGAAACATTACCCAACAAATAGCTAAACAGGACAGGCTAGTGATGCTGACACTCAGAGGTAGCAGGAATGCTTTCCAGGACAACCAGATTTTTATGTGTTTTTCTATAGGTTCAAATACTGGCTCAGTCACTTACTTACTGTGTCTCATTAGGCAAGTAACTTGACCTCTGTGCCTCAGTTTTCTTATCTTTAAAAATGGGGTTACCAATACCATCTACCTAACAAGGTAGAGGTAATGTATGTTAACATATGTAAGCATGTGGACAGTGCTGCCCACACAGTAGGCACAAGCGCCCATGCCTCATACCATTTATCATCATTCAATAAAGTTTAAACTATTTTTTATCAAATCACATCATGAAATATTTATTCCAGTTACATACTAGAATCATATTATTTTATGAATTGTTTACTGCTTTTTACTTGCTTTAAAGAAAAAATGACAGACAAGCTGCTGGTCTAATTCACTTTTTAGCAATACTTTCTTTTTCATTAAATACATCAAAAACATTTGACAGGACATCTAATACAATTAACTTTTCATCCCCTACTCATTTGTTTATTTCTAAGAAACCTGATGACAAGAGTTTAATACATACAACTATTTCCCAAAAGAACATCGTACCTTTCTTCATAGTCCTTACCTTCACAATTTATAATTTTAACTACCCATTACATATGAAAAAATAATAATGAAAGTTGTTATATTGTTTATATAACTTTTTATTTAAATAGTAAATCAACATCATTATAATTCTGAACTAACTGCTTTAGTGATGTATCTAACAAAGATGTAGCCCATATTTATTACTGGTTTACAGAATGTTTACCAAAATGTGTACTAACATGTTTATTTTTCATGGAAAAAAGCAGTCAGGAGTGTTCTGATACAAATTAAGTGAATTGAGGTGACGTTTGACAACATGAAGAGGTTCCCACTCGGTTATGTGGAAAATATTTTCAATAAACTGAATGGGATAGCTATACAGATTTTCACAAAAATATGTATTTTTCAAATGTAACGTAAACACAATTTAACAAATGGATTGGTTAAGTAGCACTGAAATTACATGTTGACTTCCTAACCTTTTCTAAGTATACTGGATTAAACAAGTGCTTAATAAAAGAAAAAGTAACAAGCGTAACATGAAGTAATGTAGTAAGTATTGGTAAAGCTTCTTTGGTTTATTGTCTCAAAATTTGAAAAAAATAAATGGTTAATCACTGGATAAAAAAATCTTTTGGCAAGTCATGTGGTTTCCAGTTCTTTACTGTCAAGAAAATCAAAGGAGAAAGAATCTTAAGTTGACATCCAGAAGGTCATTAAAATAATTTTTGATGACAGATCACTATGATTTTGGGGATATAATGTTGAAGTTCAAAGACCTCAGTGATTTAACTATGACAAAACTTCATCCAGGCTCAAATACTGATTTATAAGGGCACTTATAAAAATTTTTAAATTATAATTAATGTGGAACTATGTCTAATTCTAGAATAAATATTAATTGACAGATATGCAAATTACTTGAGGGAAAACACTCTTAGCTCTATTTTATTAACATTGCATCTCCAACAAAATTTATTGTTTACTTTCTTTTTAAAATGAAATATGCACTAATAATATGTGCAATAATTTAACCATGGAGGAAAAGAGCTTTGTGGTCAGAGGAAAATTTTTAAATTAAATTTCCATTATTACATACATATATTTGTTTTAAAGAAGTACAATAATTAATAAATTACTTTCAAGCATAAATATATGCTACATTAAAAACCTGCAGAAGCAATGTAAATTCAAGGTAAAAAAACAATGTCCAAATGTCCGTTCATAGATTTTATAAGTGCATGTTGATGAATATCAGATGCTAAGATATTCTGATTCCTCTGGTTACATTTACAAGAGTGATGCAACTGTTCCATTTAAAAGTGTCAACACTATACTACACTGAAAATTGTATCTTTTGCAACTATCTGAACCCCTGATTTTAAAAGTTTAGAATGTCAACTTAAAATGTGCTCAATAAATTTTAGCAAAATTCTTTCATGTGGGTCACTTTTAAAACAAGAGATCAACTTAGTATTACCAAAAAAGGGAGAAAAATGACATTATATTCCTCTAGATGTGACACAGCAGGCATACATCACTACCCTAGGTAGTATTCTTGCCCAAAACACAAAAAATACTAATTACTGGTTACTCTAATTCTGATCACAAGAAAGTAATTAAAGCCAGATTGTAGAATGTCTTACAAAACAGCTAGCCCTTCAAAAAGATCAATGTCGTAAAAATGCTCCCCAAAGAGTGATTAAAGACTGAAGAGACATGACAACTAAATGAAGTATGTGAGCTCTGAATAAATTCTTCATCCAAACAAAACAAAACAAAACAAAAATAAAACAAACAAACAAAAAAAAGGAAATTATTGGGCCAACTGAAGAAATTTAAATATGAACTGTCTATCAAATACTACAGTGTTAAATTTCTTATGTTTTACAATACTGTAGTTACATAGAATAAAATTCTAGTTATAGATAACATGGTTAATTTTTTATAAGTGAAATGTCATTTCCACAATATAATATTCTAATAGTTCAGGAGAAAAAATTATATAGAGTGATAAATCAAGTGTGTCCCAATATTAGTAAGTGTTGAATGTAGGCAAAGGACATATGAATGCTCACTGTACTATTCTTCCTACTTTTCTATATAGAATTGAAGTTTTTCCAAATCAAAAGTTAAAAAAAATTCTTTAATGGGGCACTAAAGCCAAAATTTCAAGACTGCTGATACATACAATCCATGAAACAATTCAACAGTGAATGATTCAGGTCCCTTCACACATCAGATGATAGATGCTTTTTGCCTTTTGAATCATCCCACAAAGGCTATTCTTTGTACAGTTCAGTAAAAATTTAAGCTAAATATGATGGTCTCATAAAAATATAATAAGATCAACCTAAGTAATTAAGTGGAAGAGCCAGGATTTGAACTCCAAAGCCCATGCTTGTTCATTCACAATATACTAATTGTTATTATGTGGACACATTATTGTAGGGACAAGTCTGCTTTTATGACACTCATCATCATTTTTTAAATTACTAAGAAAATCCCTACAACCATTTTAGATCTTATCAAGGAGAACCAAATGGACTGCTCTGTCCCCTTTCCTTCCCCCAAATCAATCGTAGAAAAATTACAGGGGCCACAAGGGAGTGAAGGTCTAAGAACCCAGCTATTCTGTCTGACTCCCAAACTCTGCATTCCCCTGCTCCCAAACCCCCATTAGACAGTAAACTCGTTCTAATCTGGGCTTTTGATACGAAATATTCTTTTATTCAATGATAAGAATTTTCTACTGTGTAGTATGCTAAGGAGCATTTCAGAACCTCTTTTTGTTACTGAACTAACCTGAATTTGAGAGCTGGCTCCACCCTTTGCCAGATTTGTATTCTTGGGCAAGTTTCTTAACCTCTTTGAGCCTGCTTCCTCCTCTATAAAATGGTGATGATGGTAATAATAATACCCACCTGACAGGACTGTACGGACTAATGTATTCCATGGCAGACGCTTAGCACAGCACTCAGAATTCCAGCTACAGCAGCTAGGCTTGGTAGGCTACAGCAACAACGGCAGTCGTATTTTTTAGGGTTGAAATATTCTAGTGATTGGCTAGAGGAAGGCTGCCTTTACTAGTCCTACGGCTAGCTGAACAGGAAGCAAGGTTCTGCATTCTAGACGTGCAAATTATGTGTGTTGTTGCTATTCTATTCCTTCTGATTTATTCTTTTTCTTCTGACTTAACTAATCATGGAACAGTTTCTGGTAATTCATATAGATGTTGTTAAAATTGTCCATTCTGCATGTTAAGGGTTTTAATATAATAAAAAGCCACTTACTCTGGTGGAGGCATTTTTGAGGGCTCCACGTCCCGCAGGAACTCACACTGAAGAGCCTGCTCTGCAGTGCAGCGCTTACTAGGATCCAAGGCGAGCATGTAATCAAATAAGTCTAGTGCGGCTGCAGGAATACTGGCGTGAGAGGATTACAAAAGTCATGCATGTTCTCTGACACAAGCTGAATGTTTCTCTAAGAACTTATTCTAAGTATTAGCATACAATGGTATATTTTATTATTCTATAGGCAATTTGCTGTTTTAATATAAATTAAGAACTGAACAGAATAGTTTCCTATAACAAGGTAAAAAACTGAGTTCAAGTAACTTGAAAGGTGTTTCATTCAGTTTAAACGGTATTATTAAAGTTTTTTTTGATAAACACTGAATCAAACATACAACCCCCGATCACTGAATCCATAATAATGGTGAAAGGGTCATCTGCATGTAGCACAGGGAAACTCAAAGTGAAATGGCATAAAGAATTGTGATCGGTCTACCTTAGGTCAGAGGATAGAGTAACATTTAGAATCCTCAAGAAATAGCTAAAACAAAACAAAATAAAACAAAACAAAACAAAACAATGCAACATGGATGTGTAAGCATCCCCTTCTTACAAAACAAATTCTTCTCTTAACTTTCGACGATACTGCTTCTTTGGTTTCATGGTGTTGAAATATGGAAGTTTGATTACGTCAGGCCACACTGCAGGGCATGGACTCCCACATATACGGCTGAACAACGCACAAAAAGAAGTTTATCAGTATGAAATACATTAAAAAAATACAACTGCTATACGAAGCATTGACTCATTTTTAAATACACAAAAGTTCAAGTCCTGATACAGTGTAAAGAAGTTTCATTAAATATTTTGGTCATCCTAACTCTAAATTACTTGTTTCAAGAAATCAATTTCTTTTCAGTGAATGCTTCTAACACTCCAAACACTCAAATTCCTAGGGAAAAATAAAACCCTTAATATTTGCAAAATCAAAAGGTAAAACACAGGTAACACTCAAAATGTGCTGACCATATTTTGAACCAAAATTTAAAAGTTTTTCTGTCAATTATTGAAGAACTAGAGTTTAGTGTATGTCTTCCTCTGGTTTTACAGATACCTGTCATCACACCTTCTCATGAATATAATGAAGTTTGCAATAACAGCTGAAAAGATTTCCTATACTCAGGAAGCTAACTGAACTATAAAGACTGCTGCTGAATTTGATCAACAGAAGGACCCGAAAAGTAACATTCTTGAAACACAGAAGTTCTCTAATTTCAGTAGTGCCTCTGATTTCAAGGTATTTAGAAATTTTAACTGCTTTACTTTGTTTGTATCTTAAAATCCATCATTATTTTTATATTAATTAGTAAGTCCTTCTTATGGTAAACTGAAGAAATTTTATAACAGATAACTCTGGCTGGTAAACATTTAAAAACTAATGATTTGGTAATATGTAGATGAAAAATTGGTTAAATACACTTAACTTGATTATACTGAATCTCAGGAATAAATGTACATTGTATATAAAATTATCAGCTGAGCTTCATATATAAAAAGGAACCATACACGTATCACTGACTAAAAGTAAAAACAGTCTACACATACATAAAATATAAATGCAGGCACCAATTGTATAAGCAAATAATAACTAGAGACTTTTTTTGTGGCATTTAAGAATGCAACGTCAGAAACACATTTATGTAAGACAACCTCTCATTTTTTAAGCTACAGGTCACTGAAATTGTACTTTGTCTCAATATAGTTTAGGATTTTAATAAATCCACGCTTTTTATAAGGTATTATGCTCTGTTTCTACACGCCTGTTTCTTCCTCCTTCTAACTTCATTCCCACAACATCCTCAAAAGGAAAGATGGCCAAACTCAGGAGCACGGCTCTCTGTGATCTGGTCCCAGAATGCCTTCCTAGTCTCATCTCCCAATTCATCTCTTCCCATAGACCAACCACTCCTCCATGTCTCTGCTCATGTTCCTCCCCCGCTAGATTCTATCTGGCTGAATCCTTTTCATTTCTCAAGATTCCCATCAAGAGTAATCTATTCAAGAGTGTTTTCTGTAGCCCCACTGCCCAGAATGGTCCCTGTTTGCATGCTACTTGTTTGTTTTGACACTATTTCATCCTGCTTTGTATTTTAGTTGTTTACATGTCTTTCTGTTACTAAGTTATAGTTCAGGAACCACTCTCTTTTACATACTATAGAAATATACTGAGTAACTGCACAAATACAAATTATTAATCCCAGGCAGACTGATGTGCACCATAATAGAAGTATAATAGAAATATATTGGAATAAAGAAAATGAAGGGTAGTTTCAACTACAGAAATACAAGAAAATGCACTTGAGTTAGAGAAAGGGTGCAGAATTGTGCCTACAACTCCAAGGATAAGTAAACAATAGACAGGTGAGAAAGGGAGTAAGAGAAATTATGTTACGGGCAAAGAGAAGTGCACGGGCAAAGCCATGGAAGTACCAAAGGACAGACATTTGGGAGGAAGACTAAGGAAATCAGAATAGCTGAAATTCAGGTCTCAGGGAGGTTTAGCTGGAAGCACAGACAGGGGCCACACAACACAGTCGGCCTAACTATAATGAAGACAGACTTGAAAACAAACTTTGGAACTGAATCCTGTCTGTGTGATATTGGTGGAAAATTGTATCAACTTAAGAATCTCTATCTCTTTTGGAAAATAGAGATTAATTTTACTCTGGAGCTATGAAATAAATGGGCTAGCATCTGGCTCATTAACAGCCTGATAATAAAAATCAGTTTCATTATCTCACAGCTAAAGAGTTTTAATTATTTTAGTATATGTGTTCTGGGAAGACAGCTGAGTGGTGAAGTTATCTCACTGGTAGCAGCATCCAAGATGGAATAAACAGTCTAAGACAGGGGAAATTACTAGAAACTAGGGTGGCAGACGTGACAGCAACTGATAACCGCCCTTCAGCAAAATCAGTGCCTGGTGGCCAGTCTGCTATCCCGCAATCATCTACTGAAGATGCCTTGAAAGGCCTCATATGTTAATCACCAAGTAACTATTTGGGGAATCTATTTTGATCTACTGACTTACCTACTCTGGTGTCAACAACATGGCTTTATATTTTTTATAAGGCTTACAGGACAAACCTGTCTACCCATTTCCCTAATTATTCTTTTCAGAATTTCCTTACAGATGAATCGTACAATGAATTACTGTCACACTCCAAAAGGAAGAGAATCCTGTTGGGATTCAACTGCTGCTCTGAATTTATGAATTTGGAAAGGACTACTATCTTTACAAAGCTTAGTATTTTCATTTTTATATTTCCTTCAGTTTTATACAGGCATACCTTGTTTTACTGAGCTTCACAGATACTGTGTTTTATCAGACTTCAGGTCTGTGGCAACTCTGCCTCAGCAAGTCTTCTGACACCATTTTTTTTCCAACAGCGTCTGCTCGCTTTGAGTCTCTGTGTCACATTTTGGTAATTCTTGCAGTATTTCAAACACTCCATCAGCAAAAAGATTACAACTCACTGAAGGCTCAAATGATGGTGAGCATTTTTTAGCAACAGAGTATTTTAAAATTAGGGGATGCACACATAATGCTACTGCACACCTCACAGACTACAGTCCAGCGTAAACATAACTTAATGCACACTGGGAAACCCCAAAACTTGTGTGACTCACTTTATCCTGATATACACTTACTGCAGTAGTCTGGACCCAAACCTGCAGTATCTCCAAGGTATACTTCAATTACACCTTGTATATTTCTTTTTATGGGTTCTGCTTTTTGCTTTTTTGAATGTGTTCCTATCCCTGTGATATTTCCTAAGCAGTAACTAGGAGAGCTTTGTTACGGGAAAGGGTGGAAACTTGACACACAAAATTTCAGGTAGCCATCTGAGATCCTATGGTTCCTAATATAGTTTTGGGTTTTGTTTTTGTTTTTGTTTTTTTGTTTTTTAGTTCACAGAGGTTTACTTCTCTACACAGGCAGAAAACATATCCACGTTAATTTCCTAATTTCATACCTGTGTCATATAGGGTGAGTAAATTCCATTTAACAGTTTTTTGCTAACTGTTTCTGAGGCCGTCCAGGTTTATTATCACCACCTATAATCAGAATTCATCTATATGTTTCAAACGTGTATTCCTCTTTATCATTACAGTATGCTACATTATGTGATAATTTCCAAACAATGGTAAAATGCTAATGATGTTCCACAATATTAGGTAATTTTGTTTGGTTTCTGATTTTAATAATGGGATTACATTCATTATTTACCATGAGGAAAGATGACTTTTGGTTTGAGAAGAAGTACAACATATAATAAAGATATTCACAGACACACACATACACACAAATTCACACATATATCCTGTTAAGAAAGCATAAATTTATACCTTTTTATTATGGGTTTTATTTTTGTGGCTTTTAAATTTTAAAAAGATACTTTCTTTAGTTCTATTTGTTTTGATTTTTAGAAACTCTATTATAATCATCACCTGTATTTTCTTCCTGGGTCACTAATGTCTTGAATTATTTTAAGAGGATTCCTAATATTTAGTCATCCTTACATTCAAAAGAGAAATACCACCCTGGGCTAATAAAGTACTATTATTTTAGTGTAATGCTATATTCTACTTTTTAAGTGAGTGTCCCTTAGACCCTTTGGAGGGGTCTGGCAGGTCAAAGGTATTACTAAGACATTATTTACCTTTTTCAATGTGTTGACTTTGCACTCTGGTATTAAGCCCATGGTGGCACTACTGGCACTTTACAAACCACTGGCGCCTTAGCATGATTTAGGCAGTAGCACCAGACTATCAGTAGTAAATACTCTTCACTACGATACAATCTTGGTGCAGGAGGGGGAGACAATTTCACTTAAGAATGTAATTGTTGAAGCAATACAAATTATTATTAAATCCTTACACTTGAATATGCATCTTTTTAATATTCTTAGTAATGAATTAGAAAATACTCATAAAGCACTTTTGCTGCACAACAAAGTGATCGCTATCTTGAGACGCACTCATGCAGTTATTTGAGTTGCAGGCTGAAGCAGCTGCTTTTTTCATGAACCATCATTTTTACCTGTAACAAAAGCTAACAAACTATAGTCATTCAGACTTGGGTATCTGCCAGACATTTTCTTAAACAGGAACAAAGTCAGCTTGTTACTTCAGGGAAGACAAGTGCAATCTTTATTGTCAAGTGGAAAATTCAAGCTTTCAGGAGAAAACCAGAATAGTAGCAGACTTATATCCACACCATAAACTCGGTCTCAAATATCTAAAGGCTTTTCTGATGAGATTAGTGGTCATAACAAATGTAATGAATGTTACATCTGGAAGACCTGCTCAATTCAGTGATCCAGTATTCATCAAATGACCAATACATAATATTACAAAATCATCACAGGTAAGGGATCCATTTACAGTTTAAGATGCAGCAACAGACATCAATATACTAGAGCACAAAGCAGATGGTTTCAGAGTGCACATTACAGCTAACCTGTAAAAAAACTGCCACTTGGCACAGCTTCAAAGAATATGTGTAATTATGTGAAAAGACTACTGAAGATAGCATATCACAGGTGTGAGGAACCAGGTGTTTATTAAGCCAGACACTGAAATATTTTAAAAAGGTTAAAAAAATGCTATTCATTTCACCAACATTTATTTTAGTTTAGAAAATATAAACTTTTCACAATTAAAATGTTATGTTATACTGTTTCTAAATGAATTAGTAAGTATTTTAATTCTCAGTTTTAAATATCAATAGATACAATCAACAATACAACAGATCCAAGATCCTGGGATCTTTCATAATTTTTAAGAGCGTAAAGAAGTTCTGAGACCAAAAAGATTAAGAAGTACAAGTCTATAAAAATGTTTTATACACGACTGATTTATGAAGGTATACGTTTCATTTTTTAACATATGCGAACTTTCCTCCTTCTTTTCCTATATTCTGGAATAACTAAAGTCTATGCCTTTAAAATTTAAAAATTTTTACCTGCGTGACCATTTAGGCCTGAGGTTCTGTGTATGTGTGGGAGCGGGGAGAGGGGATTCTTCTCATTCTAATGTACTTTCAATTTCTTCCATGATTATATTTCACAAGCAATGTACATCATGTGATATAAACGTTCTTTTGCTGGCTGCCAGAAGGCTTAGAGTTAAAAGTGTGACTCTCACATAAAAAATATTTTCACCCTCCTTCATTCCTTTTTGTCCCCACCGATGTTTTTCACTCTCTGCCATGACTTTTTAACCCATGCTACTTCTTAGCACAAAGCTTCTGTAATCCGCATAAAGTATTTCCTGGAACAAGGTGAAGTGCAAGTAACTTGACCACTCTGGTGTTAAGCTCTTCAAGACAAATTCTGGTTAGCATTCCCACCCTCAATCTGTTTATGTTTCTTTGGACATTGCAGGCCCTCGATCTCATCATTCCTGCAGCTTAACATTCCAGCATTACTGCAAATCAGATGAGGGGAAGAAGTACATTAGGAAACTGACATTTATTGATTTTCAAATCCTAAGCGTATTATTTGTCCTGTTTGACTTGTGAAGAAAGAAACTTACAGCGTTATAGGACTTACCCTAAGTCACAAGAGCAGAAGTAGCTGAGCTGGCATTAGAAGCCAGGCCTGTAAGACTCCAAAGCCCACCCCTTTCAATATACTCTGCTGCCTCGTTTCAAATCAAGGAAACTTGTCTCTTTTACCAGAAACTTCCTTTTTTTCCTTCACGTTTTACAAATAATTAATGCTATAAAATGAAAATTGAAGCATCTTTTTTGTATTATTATAAATATTTGATATCTTACCAAAAACCAGAAACATTCTGAAATATATAAAGTAGAAAGTAAAACAGTCCCCCCTCCAGAGCCCTCTACAAGCCCATGTTCAGATTAACAATTCCAGGCTCTTGTAATGTCTTTAGTTTGTCTCATCTATATGGGATCAAGTCGTACAGAAAGCCGTGTTACAGAAGGGCGTCTGCAAAACTGCTCTTTTCACGTGACCATGTTGCTTTTCCCTGTCAGTATCTCCAGATCTGCCGTTTCCCTTTTAATAACTGTACAGAACGCCACTAAGCAGATGGATTAAGCTTTCTTTTTATTTCCCATATGGTTCACTAACTGACTTAACATGTTCCTAAAATAATCCAAATACACTCATGCCCCAGGATCACGACTTTGCTGTTCCCTCACTTCACTGGGATCTCTGCTCCAATGATGCCTCATGGGAGAGACCTTCCCTGGCTCCATACACAGCACTGCTCTTAGCATTGTCTATCCCCTTACACTGTGATGTATTTTATTAACTTGTTTTGTCTATCTCCCCCAACTAGAAAGCAGAAAAAGTTGTGTGCCAATCACTAGGCACTGAGGATAAAATCCCCAACCTCTTTGTATCCTCAGTACCAGTAACTGGCACACAACCAGCAATCAATAAATAGTGTTCAATTAATTACCTGATTTGAAATATCTTCTGTATTATATTCTAAGGTCCACATGAACTTACTTTAAATTTCTGAATTTCCCATAGAATTTCACTAATTCACCTATGTAGCTTCTGCCAGTACAAAATGGTTTTAGTTACTAAAATTTTGTTTTAACATATGATATGCCTAATTGTCTTACTTTAAGAATTGTCCTGGTTATATTCGGCTTTATACCTCCAGATCTCCCCCCACCCCTATGTTTCTAACTGCTTATTATCGGTACATATTCTTTAAAAGCTACTGCTTTTGGCATATATGTGTTAGTATATACTATATTAGTATACTGTGTATATATATATAAATATACACACACACATTTGTATATATATATCTGAACACCTGTCATTTTACCAAACTTTTTATTTATGGTATTTAAGGCAATTTCCTTATGTGTATGCATGTATCAATGTTACCAGATATAAATTATGATAGTGCGATAGTACTGCCTCCATCTTTCCAATATTTATTTCTCTTATTGGGTTCATTCTTCTAACACTACTAGTTAACTAGTTAGTGCTTCTGAAACACTCTTAAAATAATAAGTCATCTTTTCCTCATTCTTGTCTTTACTTCTAGTAATTCACCACTAAATATTACTGTGTGTTAGTTTGTGATACATATTTTTATCACAGAAATATGCCTCTATACTTAATTAGTAGTTTATATTTTCAGCAATGCCTATTCAACACCTATCAAGATAAACGTATTATTTTACTTCTACTAAAATGATGCATCTTAATGACAGAATTCCTAAAATTAAAACACTCTTGTATTCTTAGGATGGCCCGTTCTTGACTCTGCAAGTGAATTTTTAATGAAATGTTGGATACTACTGGCTAATCACTCCTTTAGAATTTCTATATCAATATTCTTTAGAAATTTCTCATGCTGCCTTTTTGGTGTTTTGTGTCATACTAACTTTGTAAAAAGTTCCAGGAAGTTTTATTTCCTACATACTACAGAGAATTGAGTATAAGCTTAGATACTAAGGTAAAACTATCTAGATTCAAATCTCAATTTTGCCACTTGCTAGATGTATGACTCTGAACAAATTCTTCACCTCTCTAAGGTTCAGTTTACTTAACCATAAAAAGAAGATATAACTGAGGTAATTGAAGAGAAATTCTTAAAACAATACTTGCATCATGTATAAAATAAACAAATGTTAACATTATTAATAGAAGCCCTAGTATCCAATACAATTAGGAACAACGGTCAGCTAACAGAGAAAATGGGTTAGAGGAAATCATTATCAAAAAAAAGAAAGAGATACACAGATACATAATTCAAACATTTTATTTTAACTAAGAATGTATAAATGTGCATTTATTTCCCAACCTTCTGACATTAGGCCAAGGCCTTCTCTTTGAAAAGAGGATTCATTGAATGAGATTCTAAATTAGCTTTTTGGCACAAACCACACCCATAACACATCAACCAGGATTTAAAGCAATCTGAGTATTAAATTCTCCTAAATTCTTATGAGTTTTCTTTCTAACTTATAGTAACTTGCACACCCCTAATTAATTTGACAGCAACTCTGTTAAGTCTTTGCAAAGCAGTGCATCTGTTTGTATTTAATTAAATGACATATATAATAATAATAAAATGTTTATACACAAAATTGGAAACAACCACCTCTTAGTCATCACACTCTTCATCTGGTGAAATAAACAATGCAGTGTTACTAGAGAGTGGTAGTCTACTAGCTGTGAATATTTAGCTTGCTATGTTATCAAGCTAGCTTTATTTACAGATAAAATGGAGAGCATCAATTAATCCATAAGTCTGCTGAAGGGAAGGTACATAGTATACATGTGCCTTTTAACAATATCTCTTCTAAAAATTCTTATTTGTATTTTGAAACACACAAATCTTAAAAGTTACAAATTAATATTATATATGAAAACCAAAAGTTTTTAAAAAAGGAATTTATTTTAAAATATCAGATGAATGGAAAAAAAAATATCAGATAAAGAGAAAGATGATTAACATGTATGTCCTATGACCTAGGTCCTGTGATAGGCTCCAAATAACGAAGACCTATGCCAGGGGGTGTATGGATGTATTCTCGAGTATAAGCATACTATACAGGCACATAAACATATATGCATATATGTATATAAAAGAGTACTTATTTATATTATACCCAAATATTAATTCTCTTCACTGTCATACTTGAAGAAAGAGTATCTACCATTCATTCTCTCCTCCCTCATATTTACTCTTCCTTCCCAGTCTTATCTTTGGGGGCCACAAGTACTTTGATTTAATCACAAAAGATCTTAGGACTTTAAGATCCTCAATTTTACTAGGACAGGTATTAAGAATGCCTGCAATCTAGTTCCTCCTCCATTCAGCAGTCGTTAACCTTCAACAGAACTATGCTGTCCTCCTAGAAACACAAGCCTGAACATTTTTTAATTGCCTATAGAGTATGACACACCTCTCCACAAGTATAATCACGAGCTTACCTTATTAATTCTAGTTGTGCAAGTTCCTGATTTGCTTGAAATATAGGCTTTTTAGTGAAGAGCTCACCAAGGATACATCTAATGGGAAAAATATCCATCGTTACCAAATGGTATGATTTTACTTCACCACTGAAAGTTTCAAGTAAATTAAAACAGTCGATAAGCCCATCTTACCCACAGCTCCACACATCAATAGCTGGTGTGTATCTTTCTTCTCCCAGCAGCAGTTCAGGTGGACGGTACCATAAAGTGATGACCTTGTTAGTATATGGTCGACTAAAACACACAAAAAGCACCCTTTAGAGTTAATACGTATTAGAATAAGAGAAATTTTCTTAAGAAGTATTATTTTGGCTGATCAAAGCAATCCTACAATTCTAACTAAAACTACTGTCATCTGCCCACAGACGGGCTCTAACATCTAATGTATGATCATAAAATATATCTGAAAGCAACATGATTAATTTAAAAATTCCCTTAGTACATAAAAAATTAGAAGTAGTTGGCTTGACTTAACTGTAATATGGTCAAAGAATGGTCTTTATTACCGACGCAACTGTTTAGTACTGTTTTTTTTTTGTTCCATAACTTTTAAAAGGATTAAATGATTTAAAGGGCACTGACTGACTTTGACCAAATCTGGCAAATTACTAATGTGTGGCAAGATATAGTTCAAATTGGAACCACCTAACATAAGTTTTCGATTGGGCATATCTTTGGCAATATTTCATTAATGTCAACCCACTTCAGTATGTGAATAAAAAGTAGAGTGGTGCAGACTGCAGTAGTTGAGGTCTATTCTGCAAAGAACCACCAGCAATAGGTAAGATGCTTCACTGGATGATTCCTTTAGGTCACACATATTGCTAAGAGGACATATACATTGCTACCACTTTATCTGCCACAGAAGAGATTATCTAGTAAGTTGTATAAATATTTTCACTCCTCAGAGAGTGATCCTGATCCTCTACATGAGTAAAAAGAGTCCAAGAAGTTAGAGGTGGTTCTTCCACTGAACCATGGTTGGGGTATATACTTCAGGGTGATCACATGTGCCTTTAGGTCAATTTTAAACCTCTCTCTCTTTCCAAATATCCTCCAAATCACAAGGACGCAAAGGCTATAACAGGAAATTCCCCAGAAAGGCTATATTCCAAGCACATTAGGTAAATGAGACTGGCTTGGACTTGGACCAGTTTGGGGAAGGAAAAGAAGGAGCATATAATTTATAAAGCAATTCTCTCTCGCCAACTGTAGGTCTGAAGTTCCAGGCGGCACACGACCTCAGTAACCTGATCTGCTCTGCTCCCACACAGTTGAATTTCTCCAAATAATTTGAACACTTACACTATAAGCCACTGATCTGGGCATTACAGCATTGCCACAGATGGAACGATAGTAACAGTGTGCCAAAGTCAGGGGAAAAGGATACCTGACCTTGGTGTTGTGAAAACAGAGGACAGTCGAAGCTGTATATTTTCAGTAGCCGAGTAGGACTGCACTTTTCTGACATTATTAAATGACTTTTCTTAGTGATTTCTGTTTGTTCTGTTTGTTCAGCTCTTGTCTTCACACACTGAGGAAGTCTCTTAAACTCTAACTGCTCTAATTAAGCTGTGTTTAATCATTCTTTAAAAATATGTTTGCCTCTTTACGCCTTAACTCCATTTAAATTTGAGATTCCTTCCTATTCTTCTCTCATTCAAACCTATACCTCCTTTAAGACAGTGACAGATCCACCTCCATAGAGTCTTCTATTAACAATACATTTATTTTCACATTCTTAAATTTACACCATACTTACCACTGATTAAACTATTTTGTTTTTCCTATGTTCCCAGAAAGTCAAAAGACCCCAGAGACTATTCTTTATTATGAACCCCACACACGAAGCCCAGAAATGCTGGGCACAGGGCAGACCCTTTAAGATATATATGGCCCAGCACCTATGCAAGGTGACATATATGAAGTAGCTGGGTGGGGAAAAAAGTCTGAGAAAATTATAAGTAATTTTCTGAAATATTCTGAGGGTCCACAAGCATATAACCTACAATCTTATTACTAAAGTACAATTGGGTATCTACAGTCTCAAGAAAATGTTTAAATTAATACAAATCTGTTTGTAAATAGTTGATTTTTAAACTTTTATGTTTAGAAATGCTTTTAAATATATTTTAAAAATAAAAGTATGCTGAATTATACAGAGAAATTACACAAATTAAGGTTACTAAATTTACTGAAGAAGGAATATTTAAATAAAAGATTGGTATTTTATACATTGTTAAAAAGAAAAAACATATGCAAAATGGAGTCACTTGTGCTAAGTTCCACACTAGCAAACCAAGACTTTAATACCTAATCTAATTGCAGATTCAGCCCATCCCAGGAATGTAATCTTAACCACTCAGTCTGGAACTTCCTGGTCAGCACCAGTGAGGGAATCTGCCACACAGACCCCTACCGTCCACTAATGGAAAGTGACCTTGCCACAACCAGTCTGCTTTTTGCTAGTGTAACTTTCTTGTCCCTGCCCCCTTCTGCCTTAAAAAATCTTCCATTTTGCACAGCTCCTCAGAGCACCTTCCTTGCTAGACAGGATGCTACCTAACTGATGAACTGTTTAATAAAGTCAATCAGATCTTCAAATTTGCGCAGTTGAATTTCGCTTTTTAACAGATTTGGTGGCAGTGGAAGGACCAAGGGAGACTTGCAACATTTTAAGGGGTAATAACATAGGTATGGGTATCCTGGAACCCCTCTGAGTTCTCTGTCATTCTAAGTTCTGCTCTCTCTGCATTGAGCTCTGGATCTAACTGGCTTTCCATTACAGGGAAGGTCAGCTTGAGCTAGAAGATGGTTCTGCCCAAAGCCCAATTCCTTAACCTCTGTTTCAGACTGCAATTCCAAGGGTTTTGAGTGGAAAACCCCTAGACCTTAAGTCTGTCCCAAAATCTGTTAGAAGCAGCTGTTTCCCATCCATGGAGCCCCCAGTCCTTAATCGTTGAGGTCTGTTGGTTCTTTACCCACTCTGAGACCACAAGACCAGAAGCAAAAGTCTTCAAGTTATTGGCCTCATGGTCCTCCTATATTTACCTTCAAAAGAAGGCTCCTCCCAGAATTGATGAGACTCTGAGGGATTTTCTAGTAGACTGATACCTTTAATAGTCAAGAAAAATTAAAAACTTTAAACCCCACTTGAAACCTGCCGGTGTGATCCTGGAAGAACTATCAGAAAACGCTCTCCCAAATCTGTCTGTAGTACTCAATAAAAGATGAAACTAAAATATCTTTGCACCCTCTTTGTGTTTGCCTCTTAAATCCAAGGGGTCATTCAATGCTGCCAGAATTATTTATTGTTTCTCCCAGCTGAAAACTGACAAGATATTTAAAAGGATTTTTAAAGTAGCTCTGTGGTCAGAAATTGAAAACTGATACTCAGAGACTGACACAAACTTTTTTAGGACATCTCCCTAAAATAAAACCACATGCACAGAAGTAAAAGATAAAAAAGGATTTATAGGTGGCTCAACCTATAAAGTCATTTAGGTTTCAACTCAATTCTCCGAGGAATTGAGAACTGTTCTTATCTTACGAATCTTTGCAAAACTAGAAATGTGACTGCAGAGATGGCTCAAAGTTCACTATTCCTTTTTACCAAGCCTCAAACCTACTCTATTTATCTTAAAAGGCTTGTGACATGCATTCTTTCCGTGTGCCCTGGAGATGTCAATGTTAAAGTACAAACTTCAGGGAGATAATTCTTAAAAGAAAAAAAGGGGAAAGGGCATTTGAAATTTAGCGTTAGCCAAAGAGCAGGTAGTGTTAACTTATTCCATCTAACAGGAATACAACTTCTTTTGTAACTAGGAACATGGAAGCTGTAAGATCTCTGTTTGTCTGTGTATTTGTATGTCCGTGTCTGTGTGTGAGCGTTATAGAGATATGTGATGGTATTACTAATAGCTCCAAATGGTATTACTAAAATTAATTTGTAAAAAAAGCTCTATTTAATTGGCTTAACCAAACAAGTGCTTATATAAATTTAGTATTCATAAAAATTTTCAAAAACTTAATAGAGACTACCCAAATGCCTTACATATTCATTGGATCTGGGAAAATATGCAGTGTAAAAGTTAGGTTGTTGGTTTAGTTATTAAAATAAGCATGTCTTTAGAGTTATCAGCATTAAATATAAAACTTTCATTCTACCTGGTTTTACTAATCAAATAAGTTCATGTTATCTTTGTTACAAAACTTGTCAGCCTGGAAAATGACTTAATGACTGACTGTGAATTTTTTATGGTATTAAAAATAAACAAGAAGCCCCAAATGGAGTTACTTCAGTCTCACCAGGACTTAGTAATATCTAACCTAACGGCACTTTCAGCCTCTGCCAGAAGTGGAATTTTAAACAAGTTCATCTAGAATTTCCTGATCAACACTTCATAAGAAACCCTTCCTGCCCCTAAGGGAGGGCGAACTTGACTGAAATAATCCACTCTTCTAACATCCTTGCCCCATCCTCCTTCTGCATATAGAAGTCTTCCATTTTGTACAGCTCCTGAGAGCTCCCTTTTCCTTCCCAGATGGGATGCTGTCCAACTCATAAATTGTTTACTAAAGCCAACTAGATCTTCAAATTTATTCAGCTGAGTCTGGTTTTAACAGGATTGGTAAAAGTGACAGGATCCAACCAGACTTCCAAAGGCATTCGGGAACAAGAAACACAGGTGTGCTATCCCATGAGTCCTTTGAGTTCACCGTTTCTCTCGCTCTTTCCTAGGGCCCATGGGTTAAGTTTCTTGATTCTGAGCTCTACTCTTTTTGGGCCAAGTTCAAGACTCTAGCCTTTCAGACTGCAGTTCCCAGATTCTCGAGTGGAAACCCCAGCCCTTGATTCTATCCCCAGATTCCACGTTAGGAACTGCTGGTGGCAGCTGTAGCTCCCCATTTGTTTGGAACCAGTCAGCAGCCCCCACCTGTTGGTCTGCTGGGTCAATTCTTTTCCCAAAGTTCCACAGGAATTGTTGGTGATTACCAGTGAGAGTCAGACTGGGTCTGACTTAAAATCTGGGCTACATCCAAGGTTGGACTGGGTCCAACTTGAGCTGGAATGGGTCCAGTAAAGATTATTGCTAATAGGGATCTTGGAAGCCAGAAAAATCACAAAAATTGGTGACCACAGGTCAAGCACTTAAAGGTTGTCAGAGAACAGGCCACCTCAAGGAGACAGCTGTGACAGGATAAGTTGGTGACAGAATGGGTCAGAATGACAC